TGCCTTACCCACTGAGCCACGCCGCTTAGATGCCAAACTGTCCTAACTTAACGGTATATTACACGCAAGGAAAACTTTAAATGCGTTTTTTTCGAGAACGCTTGAGAGGTGCGTCCTATTATTGCACCACGATGTGGTGGGAGAGTCCATCTACAATATATATAAGACTCGTCCAAATCGGAGGGGAACATCTCTGAAAGTCCCCTTGTAAGTATGATTACAAGCGAAACTAGCGCGAGATGAATTTATATCAAGTAAGTTTTTGCGCATGCGTGAGGTAAAGAGTGAATAGGGAAGAGTGAGGGAATAGGGGAAGTATACGTTTTGGGAGGCTCATCGGTCCCGAATGTATACGCAGCGTTGCCGTGGAAGGTGCCACAGAGTGACGTCACGCAATAGAGAGATAGAGAGGTACGACTCGCGTCGTACTTATCCCACCAATAGTAAATTACCCTCTCTACCGCGTGACGTCACGCTGTGGCATCTTCCACGGCAACGCTGTGTATACGTTTTGGGAGGTTCAACTGTATTGTATCCTGTTGTGTTAAGTATGTCAGCATATTTTTTTGTGTGTAGGCGAAGCAATACATTTTCACCTTGAACTTAACAAGAGTGAGGGTACCTTGCAATAGTGGATTTAGAGCCCCGTACATTCCGCTATTTCGAGGTTCCACTGTACATACAAATGTTTGATATTTTTCGAAATATTAAATGTGTTCAACGTTTATATAAAGTCCTTCTCAAAAGAGAATTAAAATAGAATGAATGGGTTCTCTTATGTAGTAAATAATTTTGTAGGAAATAAACAAGAATGTGACTTTTCTGGTAGAGCAACGAGATTGATATCTGAAACTTTAATCTTTTTTTTATGTGTAATCAATTGTATATACAGAATAATTTATAATTATATACATCTCTTTACACATATTATTTAAGTTCATATGTTTGAAGTTTTTTAGAGAACAACTCGTAAGTATTAAGAAGAATAAATATTTTTCCTTTACAATTGTATCAAAATAATTCCATCACAAAAAGTAAAGTCGAGTATTATCTGGAAAATATTCTATACGGTGTTCTAGATTGATTGTTCATTTTTTGATAAGAGATCACTCTTTGATCTTTCGGCGAACGCGCTACGTTTACACAAGAAAAACTCGAGCATGATGAGGCCTTCCTAGCGGTAAGCCTAGCACGTTTGCTTTTGATACGAGAGAGTGCCGGAACGCGTCCGATATAACTTCTCAACGTGCACTTCCGGCCGACGGTAGTATGTGTAATCTCGTTAACCTCTATGTGAAACATAAGTTTTGCTTTGCGGTCTCGGCAAGGATGCAACGGGCCGGCCGATCGTCTTTTTGCGGGAATCATCAGTTGAGAACATCCTTTGCGTGTATTAAAAGAGCTTACGAGTTTCCCGAAATAACGTAAAAGCTTGACGAAAAATCTAAAATACGTTATCTGATCTTTTGCACATTTTTTTCAAGTGTTTCTTTCAGAGAAACTTTTATTGTGTATCTCAAGTTCTTGTGATAAATTCATGCTCGGGTCATATATTTCTCGTCTCGCTTCGTAATAATAACGAGATCGAGAGAAATAAGATTACTTACGAGGGAAGAAGGGAGTTGAATCTTCGTCCCATGAGTAATTGCGTTACTCAGATTGAAGCACGTAGCAGTTAAGGATTAACGCGGCCGAGCAGCAATACAAGCGACTCAGAAATAACGACCATTTGTACCCTCCGCGAAATCCTAATGTAATCGTATACTTTCGGATCTTTTCCGTTTACACACCCAAGTAAGAGCGAGCGCGACTTGGGTGCTGCTCGCTCTTTTTTTATTTCGCCACTTCGCAGTGTTTGTCCAAATGTAACGTACGTTTAACTAACATACGCAAATGTATATAAGCTGAAATGCCACATGCCTGCATCTATGCTAAAGAGTGCTAGAGTTTCTGGAATGTAATCTAGAGTTTCTCAGGCTGATAGGATTTTAGTCAAGGGTAGTGGTAATGATGAACGGTTCGCGTGGATGTGAGATTCTCTCGAGAAAGGGCTGCTAGCAACGGTAGTGGCTAGCAACGAGGCGAGGCGAGGTGAGACAAGGTGAGGCGAGGCGAGGCGAGGTGAAACAAGGCGAGTGGACTATGGAGCTAAAGGGCAAAAGAGCGTGGAACAAAAGAGGACAAGATGCTGCTGACCGGCACTTTGCTACGTTGCTGCTTTTACTACGTTGTGTGTTGCTGCTACCAGTCGCTTTTACCAGTCCTTTGCCTGATCTCTTCAAGGGAAGTGTCGTCGCCATCCGGTCGCTGCTGGATTCTCTTTTCTTTCCTTTGTCTGAGATTTTGTTCACTTTCTCTCTCCCTTTCTCCCCTCTCTCTCTCTCTCTCTCTCTCTCCCCCTCATTCTGTCTCTCTCGCTCATACACACTCACTGTGATTTCGAGACCAAGATTCGCCTAAGACCTACTTTTGCGCCTACTGCGTTTTTTGCAAAAGTGATAGAGACAAATAAAGAAAGGGAGTTAAAACCGCAAGAGAAGAAACGGCGATTTGCGGTCGGTTGCGGTTTTTAAAAGGCTTTGTTGATTGTGTTAGTTAGGCGTTTATATACTTACCATCTTGATGTCACTAATTGTCGCAATGCTTCGCACAAACAGGTTTACCCGGACAATGGCCGGCCCATCTAAGGGCAAAAACAATACAGCTCCCTTTTAGTGAGTCAGCATTTCTGGTGGCTTACATACTCTACTGGAATGTGCCTGACATTATCTTTTTACTGCAATCGGTTATTATTTAAGCGCTCCCATCGAACGCTCTCGACACAATTCAAGGTTGATCGGGAATAGATATATGGAATAATCGAGTGTCAGTTTCGTGTCATGTCGTTACGTCGTCGGATTCGGTCGAGAGATCCGAATTACAGAATATTGCAAAATCGAAGGATGGCTTTCGGAACTTTACTTCCATTTTCCTCGAAGAGCAGCTCCGACGCGCTGACACAGGAATTACATACATTATTTGCGACGATATCTACTTGCCAGAAATTCAAGATACAGAAAAACCTCATAATAATATATTGACGGTTTGTGAATCATAAGAGAACATTATTTTCGAAGCGGCGCCGTCGAGGAAAATTATAAGTCCCTTTTTTGTCGTCATTTAATTATAATGCAATAGCAAATCGTGACTCACGTAAGTTACATCCATATTTGAACTCTCGCGTGCAAATTTATCTAAAGCAATATTTAAACCCTAATCGTGCGCAATTTTTAATATCTCATGATACAACACATCTAGATTAGGGGAGAATTGTGTTTTTGTTTGCTTTTCATGAGAGTTTCACAATATACAAAGTACGACGCGCAAAGATATTTGTGTCATTTAGAGTTATATACAGATCTAATTATCACCTGTTTGATTTGCTATGCAGAATAAAACGTATTTCAACAACTCTACTATGTGTAACATAAAAAAAATGCAGAAGATCCGCGCAGTGGAGTAGATACGGTGAGTTGTGACAAAGTGTGGAAGCGTTTTTTTGGTATTTTTCCGTCATCATCGTGTATGAAGCGCGATTGACTTGCTCGCATGAAATTCTGCGTGTCAAGCGATACGCGTGCGTGAGTTGCTACAGAGTGCTCATGGCAAAGAGCAAAAAGGTCACGCGAGTGAGTGCGATAATTATCGTCAGTGTACGTCCGATCAAGCTTGTGACGCCTCCTTATCCGTTTCGATACGTTCTCCGATACACGCAATTTCAGCGACGTTTCTCTTTGCTGAAATTTCACATTAATGTCATCCTTACTCGATCTCCAACCGCGTGGTGGTCATCCAACGTGAAATCCGGTCGCGGTCTGCCAAATCCGGCCGCGAATGAATCCCATAACTGTGTCAAATAGCATGCCGATCGCGAGCCAGAAACACCAGCCAAATCGATTGTGTGTATCTCTCTCTCTCTATTCCTCTCTTTTTTAATGTCCAACGCGAATCTTTATATTGTGTGTATGTCAAGATTTGCCCTCTGATAGGTGTGCTTGTTTTCTCATGCCTTCCGTGAATCTTTCGACCATAAGACGACGATCTAATTACTAGAGTAACTGCACTCGTTGCACTCCATTAATATCTTTGATTCACAGTTAATACATATTTGATATTTACGCTTCTTATCTTTCTTTCTTATTTATTAGTTTGAATGCGCGCTTGATTAGTCTTGTTCTAACATTGCGGTCAAGGTTGAAAAAAACTAATTCAATCGTGGTAAATGATCAAATGTCGAAAAAAAATATAGAAACATGTTTTCAAAAAAAAAAAACATTTAAATTGCTTTTTACCAAATATCTGTTAGTCGCTAATTGATTTGATTAACAAGTTAAAATTGTATTTCCGTTCTTTACAAAAGATTCATTGACGTCGTTCAAATAAATTTTTAACATAATTTTACACGATAGTTCCCCCCCATTAAATTATAAAGACGTACCTATATCTATAAAATATAACCGTAATAGCTCGTTTTATCTTCGTTTATTATTTTTATTTCAAAAATTGATTTTACATGACCTAACATTGTTCTGTTTCATTTTATATACATATATATATTTTATGTGAAAAAAATATACACATATATATGTATATAGACCACAACTCTGATATTTCTAGAATAACTTTATATGAACTTGATGTAAAAAAGTGAATAGCGGATTCAGTTATGTAAAAGACCGACATAACTAATTAGTTACTTCTTAGTTCATGATTTCGGACAACAAAATTTCTCATATGCTTCTTTATCTGTCTTTCCCTTCTCCATACGCTTATATATTTTTCTCTTTGCACTTCTATTTCAGTAATAAACCTTCTTCAAATCATTTACGCTTATTACGTCGCACACAGTAGTTACTATTCAAATCAGATTCGCAGACCGCTTTACAAGACGGAAGACGAGAGCTGCGGGTAAGATATAGTTAACGTACGATCGCACAAAGGATGTGTGGGCAGTGTAACGATCTCGCTACATAATGATCCGCCATTGTACTTGTCTAAAATTCAATTTTCTTAGAGTACAACTGATAACAACAACTTCATTTTCTCGCTACATCTTTGTTTGCTGGTTAGTTGAAGTTCCACAAGATGAGCCAAAAGAAACATTGACTTTCTGGCGCGATCACAAAAACGTGTCGGCAAGTTAATCGAAGCGTGATATTCTCTATATCTTGTGATTTATTTGCAAAAGATCAAATTTCATATACAAAGCACAATATAGTTACTTAAATATAGTTACTTAATTTGCATTTTCTGTAAACGTTATGCAATCAAATTCTTTAATTAAAATAACCAATTAATTCTGCAGCCAAAAAAAGATCAACTGTTTATTCAAACGTTTAATGTTCATAGTAAAAGACTGAAATGAATAAATTTTCATCATTATCTATCATTTAAATTTTTTTCACAAACTTTGCCAATATTGACTCAAATAAAATTAAAAATAATTGTTTTACATGTAGTAGATGTGCAAATCTTGAATTACTTTGTACATGTTTTTTTCAGAAGAAAAGATCGAGCATTTTGTTTTTTAAAAAAGGTGTTTCAAGTTTTTCAAATCAATTATTATTGCTATAAATAAAAGACCAGGAGAGTATGTAAAATGCCTCCGCGTGTAATTTTGTTTTTTTACTTGCCCACGTGATCAATTGTGAGCGCCTGTCTGCCCTTTACTGCAATAAATCGGGTCGATACCGTAGATATTGTATAAGTAATGCAAGACATTGGGCGAAAGATTGAACGACAACAGTTCATCAAGATTGTAATATAAATCAATTGCGGACAAATGCAAATGAAAATAATGTGTTTGATCGATATAGACTACGCCATTTATTACGCCGTTACACATATTGTGGCATATTACAGGTAAAATTGTAGTCTGAGCAGAAATACAGACTCGTAGATTACGAATCTATAGCGCTTTCATCGGCTCATGAAAACGCATAATTTTTGTACGCGAATCCTATTCCTACCTTTCTATTAAAAAAAAAATTTCAACATTAAACAGTTTTCTCATTATGCACGTATCTAGTTAATAGTCAGTTCCGAAAACTGGCTTATATAGAAGATCAAAGTTGTTTCTACTTAACTATAAGAATACTATAGATATTAATAATTTTGAAAAATCAATAAACTAAAAATTCGTACAAAGTATCCTAAAAAACTTCAAAATAAAAGTTCTTTCAAAGTATCTATAAAAGTTGATTTTCATAAACAACAAACATAAAAGCGGCAATTGAAAGAATATGTCAGTCTTCACTTGATCGATCGCAAGCAAAAGAAAATGTTGATCGAGGTGTAACGCCAGACTTGAACACCGTCATACGCGATGTTTCCTCTTTATAATAATAGATTAACTCCGTGCGACGTCATCGACGATAAACGTGCCGTGATTACGTCAAACGGAGCAAAATTACGAAAGCGCGATCGATCGAAAGACATCGATTATTTCTTAATTATATCCAGAAGAGATATATGCATTCTTGCAAATATGCATGCACGCGCGCAAACGACACTTGGATAGCGCAGCTTATTATCATTTTTGTTGCGTCGCATTGCATTGCATTGTGAGCGCGATCTTAACGATGTTCTTTTCCAGCGAAACCGTCGAAGTGATTATCGGGCACGAAGTTCTATGAATTTTCGTTCTTCCTATCGCGCCCAAACAAGTAAAAACTGATTACCGGCGTGCTCTCACGGTTAATACTCAAACGATAAAATTAACGAGCGTCGTTTACCGTTGTGGCACGCGATCTGATTTTTAAGCACTAACGTTAGTCATATATACGTACACTGTATGACATAGTCGGATGTAAAAATGTAAACGTTGTGCGCAGCCCCAAAGAAGACTCGCTAGAAACAATTAAAAACTCTTTATTATCACGCGACACGTCTATAAACTCTACACTCTTTATTATCACTCTACACGTGCGCCTGCTTAGGGAATATTCCGGCCGTATTCGTTCGTTTTATTGCGACAGCTATCGTCTGGTGCGATTTATTCAATTACTCTTTCACGCTTCTACACAACAGGAGAATAAGATTCTATCACGATCTCAATCACAAACACAGTAAACATTATCGCGTGTCTTTAAGATTTGTATAATTTATAGTTAATTTATGTGGTCTCTGAAATTTTTTTATAAAATACAAAATAAAAAAAACATGTTTATTTTTCTAATATATCGAAAGAGAATCTTGTACATATTATAATGTTTATGTTACGCAACATATAAAAAGAAATAATACATGTATGTACAGATTGATTTTTATTTGGAATTCACACAACTATTGGCAAATTTACTTTTAACATTTGCGCAAGCGTCTATACACACGCGCGAGTGATTTCGCCGAGAGTGCTCCATTTGTCATTTCGATATTTAATTAGTTTACTGACTATCGTTGTATTTGGCTGTGTAGCTTACTTGAGAAGTTAATCAATTAGGCTTCGATAAACGCTGGCCAAGCAAGACCGTCTTCTCATTGATACGAGGCAATGTTCTCATTTCTTATGTACTTAGTTTCGTTTATCTGTCGCGCCGAACAAAACAACTTGCTTCGACCCGCTAACAGGAATCGCGATATTTGTTGCGATGCAATCGGCGATGATCGATATTGGCGGGATTCGAAATTGCCACATCGTGAAGAAAAAAATCCAATACACCTCGCGTAATGTAAAGGAGATTGGAAGACGGTTTTGACCAAATTGCACATCGGATTGCTACGATAGATACGTTGCACGGAGATAGTTCGACGGATACGCGAAATCTTTGCATTTTCGTGTAAAACGCGTTTCACCATCGTAAAATTTACCTTCACTTTTTTTTGTTAATACGAATCATTTCTTGTTTGCAATATTATATATTATATAAAAGTTCTACATATCGTACAATATATAAAATATAAATTACTAATCTACATCTTTTATTACTAAATAAAAATATAAATTAAAACAAATCTACAAATAAAAATATAAATTAAAACAAATCTACAAATAAATTTGTATATTTTTATCAAATTATCAATAAAAACTTATACTTCTCATAAATAGATAAAACATAATTTGTCCAAAAACTTATAAGAACAATATATATTATCAATAATCATGTAGATAGATTTCAAGATTTCGAGATCAATCGTCTTCCGTTCCAAACAAAGTCAGTCGCATTCATGAAGTTTATGAGAGAATTTCTCGTCTCTCGGTGTGCATTCACTTCCGTATGGACATGAGGAAAATTCTCGCAATTTGACTCGCTCGCTTTCTATTACATACACACACACACACAAGCATACACACACGCATATATATATATATATATATATAT